GTTATTCTTTCTCTGTTGTTGATGTTGTTGTTGTTGTTAAGTAAAGGAACATGAATGCTGACGTTTGTTTATTGATATCGTTATGGTTATGTAATGCGTATTTAAGGTTTTTACACAGGTTACTCTGTTTGACGTTGAGTTTTTGTTCATGAGATCTGTATGCGATTGCAAAGAGCAGCCAGGTTCCTGAACCAGTAAGCATGAGACTGCTTCTTGTAACTGTTACAACTAACCTTACTCCAGCGGAAGCAACACAGTTGCAAAGTTGTTGGACACCTGGTGTATTGAATCCTGCTTGAATGGCACACCTCTTTGTTGATTGGACGATAACATTGTCAGGTGGAAGAGCCAGTCCACATCTGAAAACAATTTGTTTTCATTTTCTCTCTTCAAGCAATTTTTTAATTGTTCTTGATGATAAACTGACCCAAGTCGTTTGAAGCACTGGCCAGTTCCTCTTTGCATACATTTCATGACACAACTGGCAAGTTTCTTTCCGGCAGCAAGGAAAGCTTTAGCCTCGGCTTGTATTCCTGAAGTTAGAGAGGGTGGGTTTGTGAATCATAGTCAGCAGGCTCACCTGAGCGAGAAAGGATACTGTTAATCTCAGTATATGCCGCCATCTTGAGTGTTTCTGGATATCTCTTTGGTACTTGTCCTCCAGGAGATGCAGCACACCTGAAATAATGTGATTATGAAGTATCCAGGAAAAAATCAACTTACGCTCCTTTCAATTGTGATTTTTCACAATTAATAACTGATTGTAGCATAGGTTCTTTTGCAAGAAGGCAAGATCTCATTGCTGGATAACTTGCTCCTAGGTCAGCTACATGCTTCTTCAAACGATATAATGGAAACATATAAGAGACACCATTCACCAACCTGACACTGATCAGCACACTGCATGATGTTACTTTTGGCTCCGTTTTCACAAGGTGCTACTTGAGCACATGTACAGTGCGGAACCATCTGGCCGCTTGCCAGGGAGAACAAGCTGCTGCATACAACGAGCAATAACAACATTTCTGGAAGTAGGGTAATGAGAAGATGAGATATCAGCAGAAAAACGAAAACTCTGAATTTATTCTAATACAAGAATGAAAAGGGTCAAATGAATCAGGCAATAATACCATCTCTAAAAGTGTTCGTCTTGGACACTGAATGTATTTTCCTTTTCTGTAGGTCTTTTAAATAACACAAGGCGTGAATAGAACCGGTTGCTTGATAACACTATTCGTGGCAGCACCTGGAGACTGGGAAGAGTTGGGTGAAGATGTAAGTAAAGATGAGAGAGGCCAAGAAACGTTGACACTATCGTCATTATCGTTGACGACATGAAGGGCCATCAGCTCCTCGAGTTGAAACAGGCCAAAACAAGCTGTTGTAACCTTTGGGTAGAAGATCGATGGTTCATTTATTGCCTGAAGAATCATATTCCCTTTTAACGTAAACATTTTGACAAATGAGTGTCAACTTCCTTCTTGGAGTTCATGAGTAAGACAAGAGGTTGATGTATCAAAGAAGCGACATGAGCGAATATCATCTATTACATCTTCAACATGTCATTTGATGATGTTCATTGAATTCTCTCTCATTGGAATTTGTTGAGTAAAGCAAAATATATTCAGATTGTCGATTTAACTATACACAATAAATGAACTTTCTTTGTCCAATAGCTTCAATCGCATCGTCCATCAGACATCGAGGAAGTTGACGAAACGCAAAACGAGACATCAACGTTCCATTTTTCCATTTTTTTGTTCACAGATCGAAATATCTTCACATGACATTTGACATCATTGACAAAATCTCATAAATCGGGGAGTTATTTTCGTCTTTTAAAGAAAAATAATCTTTCATGGTCATAGTAAGTGCAAACAAACCGTTTGTTTGTTACTAAGTTAAGCCATTCTCATTGAACTACAACCTTTCAAAGTTCTATGCTTCATTGCTTCGCTGCCTTTCCATTCTAGACACACAAGTTTCACTTCGTTTTCGTCTGCTTTTCATTTTTTTTGCTACAGTTTATGTTTGGCATGTTTGTTACAGATGAGAGAGAGAATAACAACATTATTGTTGAGCAGTTTCAATGTTTCACCTCTGTCCCATTCAGTTTTTGAATGTGTTGTGTCTGTCAACCCAAATAAGGATACTTGACAATTCACATATTTTATTTGATTAACACACAAGCACAACTGCAAGTCTTTGATCATAATCATTGCTTTGACGTGCTATTCTTCTCATCCACTTGGAATCGTCCGATAGCTTTTACCAAACGTTGTCGTTTGGCTGTTGAATTGTAATTTTTCAACGGTTTGTCAAGTTCTTGTTGAAGTTTGACTTTCTCTGACGCTGGAACCTGAAATAGAAGTTTGTCAATGAAAATAGTCTGAACAACAGAAGAAGATGGGATGCTCACAGATTGTACGGCAAATCGAACAGCTTCAAGTTGAACTTTGGCAAAATCGCCACCGTATTTTTTATCGGCTTGTTGTCTACGTTCATCAATCTGAAGATACATGACGCAATCGCTGAATGACTCAATTTACTTTTGTTTGAAGATTGGGATCAATCAGGCCTTGGATGTTTGTGAATGATTCATTAGATAGCTTACGAAGAAGTAATTCATCTGACCACATCTCAACAAAAAGCTTTTTGATATTCTTCTATAAATGAATCATCATTAGATCTCTGTACTGTATTGCATTGTGTTTACAAGCTCTTTAGGTGGCACATCATCCAGCTCATTCAAATAGCTTAAAACAGATTTCTTGGCTGTTCTCACTTTAACCTTCTCATTATATAATGCAGCCATCTTAATATATATATATATATTCGTGATAACATGAGAATAAGACGAAGAAGGAGAATACAAAAAAAACATGTTTTTTTACCTCTGTAATTTGTTCTGTGGAAAGTGATGTACTGTTGAAAATGCGTTGAAAAGCGTCTACATCCAATGAATGAACTGTATTCGTTAGATGTAACAGAAGAAGGGCACATATCGATAATGTACATGATTTGCTTAAAACAATATTTAAATATCTATTTATAAATATATACATAAATTAAAGAGAAATAATGAAAATCAAACAAACCTCATGACGATAACTGCGCCGAAAACCTATTCCCTATCGTTTTGAGCGTATACTCTCAATAGCCGATTAGCTGGCTGATATAATCCTTACATGGCTCTTCTCATTCACTATATCCACATTTATAGCCATAGAAGTGATTTGAAAGTGATCATAATATTGTATTAAATCGATTGTTAATTGGGTATATTGAGTGTAGAGTGAGTAATCGCTCCATCACGTTCAACTTCTCATCCCTCTATCCTCTTCCCCCCAACATTGTAGTTCTCATTAAGAGGTAAATTGATACAAATATTTTGAATTATTGGAATATTTTCTCTATTTGGCACGAACTAGAAAACAATAGGGGGGGAAGAGCCTACGCTGAATGGGGTTCCTAAGAAAAGGGAGGAAAAGAGAACAAATGAGGGCAGAACGTCAAACATTTCATTTTCTTCACATAAACATCTGAGAGCGGTCGCATTCAATTACGGACCAAAAGTAAATAACTGGACAACCTTTTTTTGTTTCAAATTAACATACCAGCCTCAGTTAGAATGACGTGCTTCCATATAAGGATAGAATGTTGTTCTTACTCCTCAACAGTACATTTCCCCTTAATTGCACCTGTTTTTTATTCTCGTTTTTTTTAAAGGTCAACATTCACCTTTTTTTATATATTTTAATTTGAAGGTATGAGATGGATGATTGGGTGGGGGAACAACGACGACAGCAAAGTATCATAAAACACTCTTCTCCAATATCTTTTCCAACTATTTTATTATCAAAAAACGTCATCGCTGTTTAGAAAATAGTAACTGTTTGCGCTGTAGACGCGAATACGTTATCTATCAACGAAAATTTTTTTTTCGGCTGCCCCTTTATCAATCAACTTCAATAATGAATCAGAAACAACCGAGTTGCTCATGTTCCATTTTTGTTTCCAACTTCTCGTCGAACACGTAGCAACGTTGTGTATATACATGCAGCATGCATCTTACATTCTCATATCTAGTATTTCGATGAAAGAGTTAGTTGTTTTGTCATCTGTATGAGGTTGTCGGATGAATTGAAGGAATAATTCGAAACACAGCAACAACAACACACAAACATAAACATTCACATCCATACACACAAACATCCAAATACTTGCACGAACAAGCGCAAGCATCTTGTGCATGTGCCGTGGGGCACATTGCCTTACACGGATCAGATTCTAAGTGCTTCTTTGCATCTAGTGTTGGTATTTCTTTATTTGTATTGTGAGCTGTCATACAATTTGCTTTATTGACCTATTCCATTGCAGATAATTTTGAGAAATGACAGTCAAATGTATCAAAGATTCTCAAACGATTACAGATTACGTTTGTTTCCAATATTTCAAAACTAAAAAGTCATGTTTGTGTTATCGTTTTTTTTTCTTTTTTTTTTACATTTCATTCTGCATGTTCTTTAAGCAGCAATCAATATATTCCATAGCCTATACTTTACCACTATTTATCGAATGTTTACAATTGGCCGACGTCGTCTGCTTTCAATAGTTTGATAGAAATATTTTGTTTTCGTTTTGTTTGTCTCATTTGTTCTCTTTTTAACTTTCTTCATTTGTTTCTTCTTCCGTTAACCTCCTTCTCTCCTTGTCGTTTACCTTTTACGATATGCATTTGCCAACCAATTACTCTCTTCTTTCCACGACACAGTGTTGTCATTTGATATTAAAGATTTACATTTAGAATTCTTAATTCCTAAATTACATCATTGCTTACAAAGGTATTGTTTACAACCATATATATTTACGAAATGTAAATGAAACATCGCATATGTGGCTATAGTCAGCATAAGCAGCTTTTGGCAAGTTAGCGAAAAGCTGAGAAGATGTCTACTCTCACATACTAACCATTCATTCCTTCATCCATACTACATATACTTGAATGCTTAAAAGAGCAGTCCATAGCTTTATTAATTCCATTCATTACATTCACCAATGATAATCGTTTCAGCTGTCCCAGCTTTCTCTTAACTGTATGATTTGTCATATTATCTTTAAAACAAACATTTCTGTTTCTTTCGTCTTTTTTTCTTTTTCTGTCACATTATTTCCTCCAGGTGTTTCTGTGAAAATCAGCATACACGTTACGTGACCCACGTGGTTTACGTGAATGACGTCACATATCTTATTTTTCTACTGACAATCTAACTGATTGGTCGTTTTTTTAATTTCACTACTCAAAATCTTCAAATGTACTCAGAGTTTTCTTTGTTCTATCTGTACTTATGTTATCATTAACAGAATGGATGAGAAAGAATTCGGGAGATTAGTTTGGGCTCCTGATGCACAAGAAGGATATGTATTGGGAACGCTGACTGATATATCTACAACCCGTTTAACAATCACAAGAAAGGATGGAAAGAGTCCAACAACGGTTGGTACTTCATTCAACTTGCTCATTACTCTTATTTTCCATATATTAGATAACTGCTCCTTATGAAGAAGTTTTTCTAGCAGAAGAAGATGTGAACAGAACTGTTGATGACAACTGTATGTTTGACTTCATACTAAATAATAGAATTCATTTCATATTCGTTTAGGTGCATTGATGTACTTGAATGAAGGAACGTTACTCAACAATTGCCGATTACGATATTTCAAAAGAGAAATATACGTAAGTTTCAGCTTCATATACACAATATACTCATTTGATTATTCAATTTACAGAGTTATGTAGCAAACATATTACTCTCAATTAATCCTTATGAACTGATTCCCAAGTTGTATAGTAATGAGACAATCAATGATTATCGCGGAAAAAGTATCGGGCAGAGACCACCACATGTCTACGCTATCGGTAAATTATATTATTTTTAAAATTTGAATAATATATGAATATCTATAGCGGACAAAGCATATCGTGATATGATACGGTTGAAGCAGTCACAGTCTATAGTGGTGTCAGGAGAAAGTGGTGCCGGAAAAACTGAATCACAAAAAGCAATTTTAAAGTATTTATGCTCTAATTGGGGAGAAGAAGCTGATCTTATTCGTCGTAAAATTAAAGAAAGTAAGCGAAATCTCTTTGTCAATGAGTTATCTAAGTGTTTGACACCCTTCAGCTAATCCCATACTCGAAGCTTTTGGTAATGCTAAGACAACTCGTAACAACAATTCAAGTAGATTTGGAAAATTTGTTGAAATTCACTTTAATGGAAAAGTTTTCTTTGATTTATAAACAGATGCTTAATACATCTATGTTCTAGGGCCAAGTTGCAGGAGGATATGTATCTCACTATTTATTAGAAAAGTCTCGTGTTTGCAAACAGTCTGAAGGCGAACGATCATATCACATATTTTATCAGTTAATTTCGGGTCTTGATGATGTTTCCTATAAGAAACTACATCTCTCACCTGTTAAGGATTTCCATGTAAGAATGCAATGTTTTTAAACATTATCATAGTTCTATTTCTAGTATTTGAAACATGGTGTGAAGAACTTCTTCGCTGGTAGCGTTGGTGTTAAGAATGAACGTTGTTCAGTCAAAGTAAGAAAGTGATTCGTTCATACAAATAATAATAATATTAAGGAAATGCTATCTGATCCTATTGTTGATGATCCCAGAGATTTTTCATCTCTTGAGAAAGCCTTCAAGACTATTGGATTAGACAATCAGGAGATTTTGAATATCTGGAGAATCATTGCTGGCATCTTGCACTTGGGCAACATATCTTTCGTTAATAGTGATGACAGCAAAGGTAAATATTCTTCCTTCGCGCTTAACAAAATTTTTTCTATTCAAGGTGGAAGTAATGTGGATCCTGTAACCGAAAATTCACTTTTATACGCATCTGAACTCTTGGGAGTAACTGAAAAAGAGTTCCGCTCAGGCTTGACCACTCGTATTATGCAACCTACTAGAGGTGGCGGAAAGCTTGGAACAATCATTCAGTAAGCTACAGAGGCAGACAGATTGTAATGATTTTCGTTCTAGAGTTCCACTGAAAGCTCATGAGGCTGCATCAGCCAGAGATGCCTTAGCAAAAGAATTGTATAGCAAACTGTTCGACTATCTTGTTTCACGAATCAACGCATGTATTAATGAAACGCCAGATGGTTCTGTCAAGAATAGCCAGTTCTACATAGGTGTTTTGGATATCGCTGGTTTCGGTCCGTTCATCATACAATCCGTTAGCATTATCTGCTCTGATTTTCAGAATTCTTCACTGTTAACTCCTTTGAACAGTTTTGTATTAATTTCTGTAACGAGAAACTTCAAAACTTCTTCAATGAAAGGATTCTGAAACAAGAACAAGAACTGTATCAGAAAGAAGGCCTTGCTGTTCCAAAGATTGAATTCTTCGATAATGAAGATTGCATTGGTAAGTGTTTATGATAACTTTTTGCTGAGAAAGGTTTTACTTTCAGATTTGTTTGAACGTAAAGCTTCCGGATTGCTCGATTTAATGGATGAAGAAGCACGTCTTCCCCGTCCATCTCCTCAGCATTACACTCAGCAGTGTTTGGCTCTAAACAAAAACCATTTCCGTCTCGAGGTAAATCAAATGAGTCAAGTTTCAATATCTAATCATAACTTGCAGAACGCTCGCAAGTCACGTTTGCGTACTCATCGCGATATGAGAGAAGATGAAGGATTTCTTATTCGGCATTATGCCGGTTCAGTTTGCTATCAAACTCAAGAATTTTTGGATAAGAATAATGATCAACTACATCACTCTTTACAGTTCCTTATTGAGGAAAGCAGGTTGCAAATCTCTTTATATCCTTTAGTTTATCTCTATTTCAGCTTCAAATTCCTTTGTAAACTTTTTGAGTCCGAACCGATACCGGTCGCATCTCCACAGAAGGTATCAAAGAAGTTGCAAAGTTTGAGTGTGTGCAGTAAGTTCCGAACACAGCTGAACGTTCTTGTAGAAAAACTACGAAATACGGTATGATAAGAAAGAATGAGTTTGGGTAATCAAAATTCTTTGCAGGGAACACATTTCATTCGTTGTATAAAACCAAACAGTAATATGCATCCAAAGGAGTTTGATGGATTAGCTATATTGGGCCAATTGCGATGTGCTGGAATGGGATCTGTTCTCAAGTTAATGCAAAAAGGATATCCTAATAGGTAATAGTAGTATTGCATTCATCAATTAATCAAAATGAATCAAGAACCTCTTTCAATGATCTCTATGATACTTACAAAAAGATACTCCCTCAAGATCTTGCTCGTCTTCATCCTCGCCTCTTCTGCAAGGTGCGTTCTCTTTTGTAATCTGTTAAATAATTGTTCCTAATAATATTCAGTGCTTATTCCGAGCTCTTGGCATGAATGAGAGTGACTCTTGTTTTGGATTGACTAAAGTGTTCTTCCGTGCAGGAAAGTTTGCCGAATTCGATCAGGTAATATCTGAACTTGTATGTTTGTGACCATTTGTTCCAGCTTATGAAACAAGATCCAGAAAGTATGAAAGCTGCGATTAAGAAAGTTCGTCTTTGGCTCATCAGAAGTAGATGGCGCAAAGCTCAATATGGAGCTTGGATGGTCATAAAGTGTAAGTTTGATATTTCTTTTTTTCTCTCGAAACCCCTCTTCTCTCTCTGATTTTCCCTCTTACTCTTTGTGTGAGAAGCAATCTATACTGACCGACCTCGTTACATTTGAATGACGTTTCGAGGTTTCAAAGCAGAATTACTAAATTACTCGGAAATAATAATCATATAAGAATGACAAACTGTCACATTTTCCCGAAATATATTCGCATTACACTGATGTTTACAAGCTTTCCTCTAGACCAAAACGGTCATGAAGATCAGTTGAGATTAAATCAACCGTAATCGTCCATATTTATTTGATAACAAGATATTAATATTTATTCAAAAGATTCAGAAGTATAATTGTATTCATCTCCTTATTTTCAGTAAAAAATAAAATAGCCTATAGAAATGAACTTGTCACCCGTTTGCAAGCAAACGTTCGAGGATATATTGCCAGGAAGGAGTTCAAACCGAGGTATGTCGTAATACATGTTCTACGGGGGATAGCCAAACTCATTACTTCTCTGAAATTCTTTTTTTGGCAAGTTCGTCTTTAAATACTTCCTTGTTAGTAATTTGCTTGTGAATAGAGTTTCAACTGTTCACAATACAGATTCGAAGCTATTAGATTCCTTTCTTCATCCCTTTTTCTTGCCTTTCTTGTGCTTCCCATCTTATCAAGCAAATCGGCCAAGTCTATAGCTTGAGGAAATAGTATTCCGCAAGATAAACATAACTCTTAGACTAAAGTTTTTGTCATCCAATTCTACCAGTTTATTCTTCCTCTCAAATTTCATGATTAGCTTCGTTTCTGCTATATCTCGATCAGCGAACCAAAACGTCGGCTCATCTCCCCCCTTCCTTTCATGTTCCAATTGTTTTTTTTTCCGGTTTTTAAATGCTTTGGTTTTTCTATTTTGTCTGAGAAAATGCTAGGCATTGTTCAGTAACATACATATCTTCTTATTGGGCATTTGGACTCATTCTTCCAAATTGTATCCATATTCCCTCAATTTGTCAGCTCTCATATTTTTTTGTGGAATAAGGACAGCTCTAGCTTTCTATTGTTGCAATAGAACAACACAAAACACAATTTTTTTCGAAAAAATGATGAATGTAGTTGCTCATCAAGCTATATATGGTATGGGATATGTATTCGTTGAAAGACAAAGAGATGATTATTTCTTTTCAATTTCATCTCGTTACTCCCCCTTCCCCACCCCCATCTAATCATCACATCTTATGTTCCTTGCCTACTCATTAACAAACAATCTCATTATTATATTTTCTATCTTTTATAAACAAAAGTTTAATTTAAAAATACTTTGCTAAGCTCATGACTCCTCTCGGTGTCGTCATCTTGTGATTGTCAAGTATCATTCTCTTACTCAAGTTGAATCATGTGAGTGTGTGTACCTCTTACATTTCCATGATTTTACTCATCTAATCTTCTTTTTTGTTTTGTCTCCCTTCTTCTTCTTCTTCTTCATTTTCTTACCCAAAAAAGAAAAGTTTTATCAAGTGAAAAGAAAAATGTTTGTATGGTACTCAAAAGCATAATTAGATTTATGGTGCAGTTGAATACAATTCTCCTTTCATTATACTCTCCCTCTTTCAAGCTTCTTCATTCTCTCTTTCCATTTTTGTTTCACTTCGTATGGCAGCACCTTGATGTATTTTGGTTCTCATCATACTTTCTGCTGTTTACGTACCTTCCTTATCGAGCCTTCACTCTCCTTCTCACTCTCTCTCCCTCTTTATCCCATTTACTTCTTCTCTCTTTCTCTTCATCTCACTCTCTTACTCCATTGTTTCAGGGAAAAAAAAACTGTTTAGTCATTTCGTCTGCTCATTTCCATATTCTGCACTTAGCTATAGCTTTGCACAGAGGCTCTTAATTCTAATTCTGCTATTTAGCCTGTCGTATTGCTTAATTCTTGATTTCCTTTTCTATTGCTGTGAGCAATGATTCCTTACGGATGTCAATCTGACGTGAAAAACATTGCTTTTTCATGTAACTGCTTTCGTATTTTACCATCATTTTCCATTTACCCATTTGGTCCCCTAGAGAGTAAAAGGAAACAGAAAAGAGTGAAGACTGGTGTTGAAGCTTTAAAGAAGGGTATCTCCAAAAGTAAATAATTACTTCACTTTCATGTTTTCTTCTCAGTTTGCTAATTTGTATGAGAAAAACATAAGATTATGTACTTTATTATTCAATTTCAATGTATATAGCTTATGCCTCATCTTATCTTCCTCCAAGCATCAACCACCCTCCCTTTCTCTTCTTCTCTTCCCTCTACTCAAATGGTTAACAATTCCTTTTCCCATACATTATCTTTCAAAAACTTCATTTCAATACTTGGTGTATTTCGTTTTCCACTTTATCTTATTTCTTCATCCTAAAATAGCTTTTCCATCGTTTATTCTTTGAAATGAGAAGAAAAACCATATATAGTCTCATCTATATGTTTAAGTGCTCATATTTTGTACTTTTCTCATTTCCTTGCTTCTTCTTCTTCCTCTATTCATAACTGACCTCATTTGTTTCCGTTTAGCAGGCGTTTTACCATATAAGTACTTGTTGTTAGATGATATATGTATATTATTTTATATAATTTTCATTTATTTACAGAATAGAATTGCATCAATCATGCCGATCTCTGACTCTAAGAGCTGATCAGGCTTTCATCATAATTAAAGAGCTTGACGCATCAAATGCTTCCAGATATTCAGAAGTTGTTAAGCGTATGCTTCTTGAGATATCAGGCTTGACCAACCAAGTGAAGGTAAGAACTCTTCTTCCAACCATTCATATTATTTCGTTTATTCCTAGAGTACTCAAACAAACTTATCAACCGCCAAAGCCAAGTATGACAAAGTCTCGTCAAGCGTCGATGCTCTTCTAGCAGAATTAAAGTAAGTGTTAAGATGTTCAGATAATATCTAATCATTATATTAATAGACGGGAAGCTAATAATGAAAGAGCTAAGCAGAGACTTCGATTAGCAGAAAAGGAAAAGTATAGTCTTCTACACATCTATCGTATTAACAAATTAACTTTTTTTTTCAGAGAAAAGGAAGAAGCTCGTATTGCTGAGCAACAAGAAAACGAAAAACGACAAGCTCATGAACGCCAAACGTAAGTTGTTTCCTGTTTCTCCTCATTTAAAAAGCGATGATCATTAATAATATGAGACAAGTTGTGATCATTGTGTTGAGTATTAGGCGAGTCGTTAATCTTAGGCTTTAGCCATTACACATGTAAGCTTCTTATTTTATTTAAGAAGTAAGTAATTAGATTGCTATCGACTACCTACTCATATACCCTAATTGTACATCAATTTCTTTTATATAATGCCTTATAACTCAATATTTTTGTGACAAAATAGAGACAAAAGCTTAGCAGTTTGCTCAAATTTCAATGGAAATCAATTCAGTTATTAAATGAGACATTTTTGCAGTCGTAAAGCTCTTGAAGAAGAAAGCCAGAGAAGCACCAAAGAATGGCAATCAAATCGTCAGATAACGGATGAAAAGAGGTTACTGATTACTGTGATTTCAAATATTTCAAATATTCTATTTAAGAAATGCCCAAACACGTGAAGATAGATTAGATTCGCAAATAGCTGTACGGCTTGCTCGTGACGATCATCAAGCTATTATAGACATTCCTCCTCCAGCTATGTAAGATATGACAGATTAGGATTAGTAATTGATAATCTATTTCAGTGCATATCAAAAGCCTAGTGGGAAGTATAACCTTTCGGAATGGAAGGCTGCTGAGCTACGTGATACCATCAACACATCAGTTGGTAAGTATTCATATCTCCCTAGTTTCATGTCTTACTCTCTGTTCTTCTCTCCATATTTCCATTGAAGGTTTTAACCCATATTTTGATGCACTTTTTCACTTCTACCACGTCTTTTATATTTCTTGTATTATTTAAAACGAGTCATAACCATGTTTTCAGATATCGAATTGGTAGTTGCTTGTAACGCAGAGTACACGCGGAGAACAATCTTATACAATGAGTGGAAGGCTGCGCATAGAAGATAGCCAATTGATATTTATATTAACTATATTTGAAAATAAAATATTAAGATTTTTGTTTGTTTCTTATTTATTCTAAAGGTTACAAGCTTAATCGAAACCCATGTTCGAAATTGGCTCCACTAGTTGATGTGCAGAATCGATAGTCAGGAAGCCTGAGGGCATCTTATTTTCACAAAAAATTCCATGCATTCGAATGTCAACATACAGGCATAGTTAACGCTTTTGCAGTTATTTCTTTCTCAGGTCAACTGTCTAAAATATTTTCGCGTAATGTGAACAAAATATTTTTTTTGTCTTCGTCTCTAAGCCATATCTCACGGAGTTGACACTTCTGGATTTTTTCGTATTTTTGAAATTTGAGTTTGTTGCTCTTCATGTGGTTTTGCCTTTCCCTCCATAGTTAAGTCACGCAAACTCCTTAAGCGATAAGGAAAATTGACTGAAGGATTAGTTAGAGAGAGCGTACATCAGATGAGGCGATAGTTGTTTTAACGAGATTTAGCTCAAATTGACTTTGAAGTTTTCTTTTTGAATCATAAAAGACGATTACATGTACTCCTGATGTACGAACATGCACACACTTGTTGTTGTTGAACCGAATGCTTCTTCATATGTCCACTTTAACTTCCATTTTTAAGATTTCATAATATGCATCGCCGATACTCAAGCTCCTCAAATCATTCTGGCAATGAGGTTTGTTGAAAACTTATGTTAAATCCAGATAGCGATTGAATAAAGCATGCAGCAAATAAGTTGAACTGATTGAAAAAAGTAATTAGTCTCATAAGCATATAGCGAATATCCATGTCGTCTGGGAGATCGTTTTGACAGAGAGAGAGAAGGAGAGATGAAGAGAGGGTATAGAAAGAAAGAGAGAGAAATAGGAGGGGTGACATTGATGTTAAAAATGGCTGAATGTTGTGAGTATCTAGCGGAAATAGATATTTGTGTAGAAGTCCAAGAAAATCTTGCTTAAGAAAAAAGAAAAGAGGGAGGAGAAATGAAGGGACGGCTCATAGGAGGCGTACAATCGGCATCAGTTCATACCCGCCCATTTCAATGCTGCAAAACATTCAGAAAACATTAATAACTTTATAAATAAAATTTGAATTTTTAGAATTTCATCGTAGACGTTCATTGATAAAGCATTTTCCTTCACCTTTTCTTTTTCACTCCTTCTCTCTCTCTCTCTCTGCGTAGTTGAAGAATAGCTCCGCTTTCTATATTGAAGCTGAGTGCTGTCATTGCTTTTGTGTCAGCCTAGCTCATTCATTTCTCAGCCAGGTTAGTTCATTTTCATACATCTTGTCGAACATATTGTTTCAATGTATTAAGCTTAGTTAATGCTTCTTTAAGGGTTAAGCAAATTTGGCAAACTCAGCTTCAATTTTGCCTCTCTAGCTGATGTGCAGAGTCGATACTCAGGATCCCTCAGGGCGAATTGCATTTATGGTTAGTTTCCTTGTATTTTTCTGTTAGTAATAGAAGATGATGATATATCAAGAAAAAAATAAGATGAAAATCAACGTAATGCTCACTAATACGACATTATGTTGTCTTAAAGCCTCTGGAAACGAGCTTCATACTCTGACAATCAATTAAACTATAATTATTCCTTTTCTTTTCTGATTGAAGTAAAACAAGAGATCAAGCTGCCACGAAAACATCTTCCTGTTCCTATTCCTTCGACAAGTCGGTCACCGTTGAGTATGATGAACATAACGAATGGTATATTCTCTTTATACATATTTCTCATTTTCATTATTGCTTTCACTGTTTAAGCTCGTTCAACTGTCCCATTAGTTAATCCTGCTTTAACTGCTCAACGATTTTTCAAGGTTCCCATCACAAATGAGACGGATATTTATAAAACGAATATCTGTAAGCTTCACATCTAGCTAAGTATGGATAGCACATGATGATGCTTCTTTTAGCAATTGATTCACCGGCATCTAATGGACAACGAGGAGTTTGGTATTCTCATTTTGATGGACAATATATCTGCCGACAGATAATTCAATATCCTTCATCTGATCCAATTCTCTTGATAGCAGGTATAATTGAATAATATTATTTTATTTATTATATATATATATATGATTACAGGTAAAGATGATGTACATATGTGTGATAGACCGTTAGATCAAACAGATTTAACACGTCGAAAAGGTGCTGAAATACCTCCAGGCGAATTTGAGAATGTATGGGCACACTTTGGTGGAAAGCCGTTACCCAAATGGACGCCGTAGATGTTCGTTTAGCTGATTACATGTAATAGAATTGATCTGTGATGAGAAAAAAAACATGGGTTTTGGATGAATACATCTTCTATTATTATTTATATTTATGAATAAATGTGCTCAAATTGATGAAAACGACCCTTGTCTAGCATGTCAGAGAGAGAGAGAGAGTGATTGAGAGAGAGAGAGAGAGAGAGAGGTTGAAGGGTGTTAGATTGTGGAGAAGGTTAGCTTGTGCAGGAACTCTTAGACTAATCACAATCTATCATAACACATTGTTTTCTGACTGACTGACTGACAAATAGAAAAACTAATTTTGTAGAAGCTCAAATATGTTTAATAATTAGCTTTCTTCCACCTAAGTTGTCTTCAGTTTCCTAATCAAGTAGTGATCTTTCATCTATTTTTTCCTCTTTTTTTTGCGAGGAATTAGTAAATATTCCTTTGTTTGGTTCTATTTTTCTATTTTGCCTATTTAATATTCCACTTAAGACCTATTTTGATGGAGTTTCTCGTAGAGAGTAGAATAATTTCCATGAAACTCTTCATGGATTCTTGTGAACTCTTGCAAGGTGTATGAGAAGTGTCTGCTACTTACGTCTAAGAAATGAAGAGCAACAAAGAAATAGAAAGAGGAAGAAGAGAAAAAGAAAAATAGGAGTCAGAAATGATAAGCATTCATCCTCTTCGTCTAAACTTGAACATGCTCATCCAATTTCGAATTCAGGACAAGAGGCTTCTGTCACTCGTATCCCAATGACCATGCAACCAATTCATTAAAGAATTAAAACTGATAAATTCACAAATAGCCATAAATGGTAAAAAGAAATACTAAATGACTAAATAGAAAGAGTTAATTAAGATGTGGCATAGCGTGGATACATTGAGAAGACTATGATGACTATTCTAATGATGCCAATGAGCTTGAAGTGCATTCCTTGAAAGCTTAAAGCGTTCGAATCATGTTGGTGTTAAACATTTCATTCGAAATAGCTTATTTGTAAGCTTCAATGTCGACCATTTGAGTTTGGTGATGATGGCTGGAACAGTAAAAACGATTTTCAATTTGCTTTGTTTGAATTAGTGAACATCAGTTGACGTTTTAACATTTCCTTCATCAAATTCTATCATCACACATTCTGATATTCATTTAAGGGGGGGGGGGCTGAGAGACTATGATTGACCTTCATCTAAAGCGTTATAGCTTGATTAACAGCTGAATGAATTGATTGTTTGAATGTTCAAGATCTAATCCAATCAATGTTTCCCTTATATGGATTAAAGCTTGAAAGGCATTCGAGATAATCATATACACGGATATGATGATGAATACCCATAAAACCGGTTATATTCAATTAATTAATCTTTTTTATGGACATACCTGTAGTTGTTGACACTTTCATTCTTGAGAAGAGTGTCAACAATACATGAATGGCTATATAAGGAGTTTACTAATTGACAGATGGAAACAATTGACAAACGAAATACATAAGTGTTAAAGGTAAATGCTTTTGCTTTGTATATCATTCTCATCATGTCATTAACCAATCAGCATCACCTCTCTTTCTCTCATCTCCTCTCTCTATCATTCTCTCTCTCTCTCTCTGTCTCTTGTAGAAGACATTAATTTTTCAATTGGTCCAAAAAATAGTAATAAATAAAGATGATTTTCTGCGAATAATGATTACAGAGACAGCATGAACTTGCTAGAGTCGAGCTGATCTGAGAGAAGGAAAGAGAGAGAGAGAATGAGAAGGAACGAATAAGGAAAAGGGAAATTTTTCTCACAGATGGGTTGTAATCAATATCGACTGAAGGTCGGTTGACGCGAGTTTGATTAGGTTTTTTTGTGTTTTACTAGATTCATGAGAAGTATGTTTATTGAGATCCTTCACATGTTGCTATGTTCAAATTAATTTTTTTCAGTTTTCCGTCCAACATCATCCCATACATAGCCATTGACGTTATGATATACAATGAGAACGTTTAATTTGCTTTTTTCTCTCTTAGTTGCTGTGTTATGCTCAATTTCTGTACAAAAATCAACTGCTGGTATGTTCAGTTGCTATCGCAGCTCATTTCAATTATTCAGAAAATAAAAATGCAGATGATGATGATGTTGAAGAATCGGCTGAAGTTCATAGTCTTGAGAAGATCAGCGACAACAATTTCTTCTCCAATTTCAGTGTTCCTCCTGAAATTGTAGAAAAAGCAATACTGAGACCTCATCAGCAAGGTTTTTCTGCTGCATATATTATCATAAACAATCATTCATCTCATTTCAGTCTATCCATACTTCAAAGATTCGGATGAACAAGAAAAGTATGTAGCTTCACCTGCAGGTCGAACTGTACGGCTAAGTTGTAAAGCAGGCGGGTTTCCAGAGCCTATGGTTAGTTTTTTTTATTTTTTCACAATTTTATTCTCAAATAAATGCATTGTAGGTCATTTGGCATAAAAATGATGCCTTAATCGTTCAAGATTCTCCACGGGGTTCCGGTTCAGAATATCGAATACGAAAATGGAGTTTAGAACTTGAAGATGCTTCGACTGATGATTCTGGAAAATATGTGTGTGAAGTATGACAACTATCTGACAATTCTCTTTCAACTGAACTTCTTCTTCGAAGATATGGAGTGAGATAGGAACTGTCAATCGAACGTTTCATGTGAAAATCATTAGTCGTCTGAGGTCTCCTCCACTCATCATACCTAATGTTCTGGTGAACCAGACAGTAAGTTCAAACACAACACATCTTACTGCTTCTTTTCACTCTCTCAGGTAAATGTGAATGCAACTGCCCGCTTCAAATGTAAAGTCATTTCGGATTTATCTCCACATATCGCTTGGGTTAGGGTAACCTATCCAGACATCCATGATTTGTATGATTTACAATCAAAACCGCATGAAAAGGTCAACTATCAGGATTTGGCTGATTTTGAGGTTCCTAAAGAGATCGCTTGAGATGTATAGTATAGAAATGATATTCAGAGAGCTACCATAGTACATGATAGGGATGAATCAACTCTAACTTTAGAAATGATTTCCATCCTAGATCAAGGGATATATGCTTGCATAACGGGTAACACTCTTGGAATGGTATAACTGAAAGTTGTTCTCATTGTAATTTGAACTTGGTTTTGAGGCTATGGCTAACGCCACTTTGATTGTAAATGACTTCATGGATTATGAGATTCCAACTGGAACTGTTGAAACGGAAATGACATTCTGGTGGATGTGTAATGATCATTACGGAATACATAGTTAACTCATTTTCTTATAGTATTCATAGCTTTTGTGATTGTGACCATTTCTGTTTTGGTCGGGTTATGTGTAGCCTATGTTACCTGCATCACATATTATAAGAAGAAGCATTTCCTTGAAAACGAAGCGTTGATAGGTAAAAGAAAGAAGGTAATCACACATACTGATTCTCTCTCAACCCTACAACCCAGTCTATTTCAAGATCATCGTCACTCATAAAACGCATAACACAGCTGATTTCAAGGATCAACCAGCTTCTTATCAAGTTCAAGTTTGTTTTGATTTAAAAAATATGAGATCCAGAAGCTTTTTTAAGGTTGTTGAGCAAAATCTTCCAAAGAAGAAAGGAGCCACTCGGTTCAGATTGAGTTCAGAAGTCACAATGCTTGATGAATATGAAGTCGCAGTTGATCAAAACTGGGAAATAGAAAGAGATAGGTAATAGGCATAGCTCATTGATTATAATATTTCAATATCTTAGGCTTCAACTGCAAGAGGTTATTGGTTCAGGAGCGTTCGGTGAAGTCTGGAAAGCTACTTTGAAAAATAAACTGGATTGTGACAATGAAGATAAAGAGGTTCGCGAACAAGAGGAAACAGATGATAGTTCTCTTTGAAGATACCTGTGGCTGTGAAGAAAGTGAAGCCAAGTGCCACAGAGAAAGATTTGGTTACATTAGTTCAAGAAATGGAGATGTTTAAAGTCATAGGGTGCCATGAGAATATTTTACGATTGATTGGATGTTGTTCCGGGATTGGACCCCTTTATGTTCTTTTAGAACTGTGCGAGTATGGAAATCTTAGGTTGATTCATTTAAGAAACATCATTTGACTTGAGTTTATAGGGACTTCCTACGTGCTCATAGACCAAAGGAAGAAAAAGTGAAAACAGGAAACTATACTGATTATCTCGAACCACGAAAAGCTTGCTACACCCAAAAGCCTGTGATTGAAAACTTGACTCAACGCCATCTTGTACAGTTTGCACATCAAATAGCTAAAGCCATGGAATTTATGGCGGCTAGGAAGGTGAAGCTCTCTGCTTCTTACTTCTTACTAATCATCTTATAGATCGTACACAGAGATTTAGCTGCGAGAAATGTTCTGGTTGCTGCCAACTTTGTAATGAAAGTATCTGACTTTGGACTCTCGAAAGATGTCAAATACAATGATTACTATAGGTTAGACTGAATCTGCTTCATTTATAACAGAAACATCTCAGGAAGAAAGGAAAGGAACGACTTCCTTTCAAATGGATGGCCATTGAAACCCTGGACAATCAGATTTCAACTATAGAAAGTGATGTGTAAGACACATTATGATGATCTGTCGAAAGTTATAAGTTCAGATGGTCATTTGGAATAGTTATGTGGGAAGTTATGACTTTGGGAGGTACGCCATATCCGACGATTGCCATGGAGCAGCTTTTCACCTGCTTGAAAGCCGGATATAGGTGAGATTGTTTGATAATATTTGAAACAGTTAATTCCAGAATGGAAGCTCCTCACAATTGTCCTGAAGAAATATACGTTCTGATGGTCACTTGTTGGCAGGTAATTGATCTTGTAACCACGATGATCACAATAACATTTTCAGGAGAAAAGAGACTTACGCCCGACATTTACAATGATTGTCACGTATTTGGAATGGATGCTTGAACAAGCTCCAGGTGAAGGTGAAGCTTTAGAAGACAAAAGTATGTGAAAGAAGAAGAATGTTCTGAGTTATATTTGAAATTACAGATGCTCAGGAAAATCCATCATATGTTAACTTTAACGCTCCAGTAAGTATCTAGTTGTGTAATGAACGAAGCTCAACATGATCTATTACAGGTTGCTGAAGAACTTACAGAGAACTGAGACAATATAGAGAAAACTTTAATATTATTATTTTTTCAATTCTTTCATAGATAATCAGAACGCGATTAGTGATTGATGATGATCTGATGTAAAAACCTAACTTGTACTTTTTGTTTTGTGATAATTAACTTTTCTGCAATTTATATAATACTATTTGGGTTGTTATAATCGTAAACAGACAATCTGATTGTATGGATTCGTAGGTTGAAATGATTAATTGCTTCTTACAGAAGCCATGCTCCACAACCAATTCTTATATAGATTGGCGTCCCAAAGTTTCATTTGTATAATGAAGACGCGCAGAACCGGTTGTACTCAATTAATTAATCTTGTTGAAGAAATAGAAAATGAAGAAGAGTCTGTCTTTATCACACTTTCCTTAGAAGAAACAAAAAAAAATGAAACAAATGGTAAATCTGGAGAACAGGGGGTAGAGAGGGGAGTGAATGAGGATTATAGTCAAGAAGGTTGCTCTGCCACTCTAGACAGTGCAACTGCAGATACATACATAAATCGCTGAGGGAAGTGCTAAGTGCGATAAAGCTCAAAGAAAGGATTCATCCAACCAATCTATCAGGTGAATTGAGGATGTTATAAGAGAATTATAAAAATCGTACGATTTGCATTGATTGATTTTTGTTGTAAAAATGCAAAGAATTATAAACAGATGTAGGAGAATGGAGGCGAATCTTTTCATACGTACAAAGCTTATCTTGCTGCTCCTTACTTCTTCTTCTATCTCTGCAGCAATCTATCTTTTCACATTTTTTCACAAAAGAGGTTTTTATACTGCCGTGTTATCTCTGAGCTTCTTTCTCTCTCTCTATCTCTCTCTCAGACACCATTTCTTTTTCATCTTTTTTTTTTCACTTCTCTTAACAACTTATTGATAAAGCCCATTCGTAGTACAACAAACAACATATTCAGCTTAATCACTTTATCTTCTATTCAGCTCCTGCTTGCTTGAAACATTGAGTTATAGGTTGTTGTTGAAAAGAATTACAGGGCAACTCCCAATGCTTATTCATTTGGATCTGACCTCCGACCGATAGCCACCCCGTTGTCAGCTGTTCCCGAAGGCGTCTCTACCTCAGTTTGCTGGTAGTACAACCAAATATATTTGCTTTTTTTTCTCTCCTCAATTGTGATTCTTTATACTATTTATTGTTTTCTAAATTTATGTAAACATCATCTTCAGTGGTTTTTTCGAATGTTCTTCACTTGTCTCTTGTTATATCTCATCTGACCACAAGCTCTTTCAGAGAAAGCAATGTCTCTCATTGATCAAACGTATTGCATTGATTACAATGGGTTTGTTAAGGTATCTTACAGTTACTGCTCTTCTTATTCTAATTTTTTCCTTAGGGATCATCCAACTTTCCTCCACCCAAACAAGTTGACTTTGATTCACAAACCATACCTGAACTGATCTATACAAAGGTAACAACCACAGAGTATGCTGTTCTTATTCTTCTTCAATAGGCTGGAAGCGACCGTGTAGCTGCTGTTTTCGATTCAGAAAAGACTTCTATGACCTTTGCCAAAGTTGTCAATGAGGTATTTGTACATAAGTAATCGTGACACTGTTTCTTCACAGATGGATTCAATTGCTGCTGGGATGTTAGCTACGGGCCTTGTGCCAGGGGATCGCATTCTGATTTGTGGTAGCAATCACTCTCAGGTTTCGGAAGGAGTTAAACCTTCCAACATTTTGTTTTTTAAGGTCATGTTAAGTACACTTGCTGCCTCTCGAGCTGGACTTGTTTTCAGTATGGCAAATCCGAATTTTCCTAATGCGGAAAGCTTTCATCGTGCATTATCAGTTGTAAGTCATAGAAGTGTATTATCAAATCATGAACGAGCGAAATTCAGGGAGAGTTCAGGGCTGTTGTTTGCTTCAAAGCTCAGGCGCAAACAGATTATTTACACTCTTTATTACTTGAATTCTGTCCAGAACTAATGAGTTGTTCGAAAGGTACGCAAGCATAAGCATTGTCACTAGCAAGCAAGTGTGTTCTCCATCGTCATGTGCTTTCATTATTTGTTGCGAAACACAGCAGCGTGGCGCAGTGGAAGCGTGCTGGGCCCATAACCCAGAGGTCGGTGGATCGAAACCACTCGCTGCTAATGTTTTTTTATTTCCACATATAATGATTTTAAAAATGTATGATTGTAGGCAAAATCAAGTGTGAGGCTCTTCCTAAACTCACTCATGTTATTCTTGCTGAAGAAGATCATAAGCATGCGTTAGTGCTTTTAGCGAGTTTCTCCGAAATATTGTTATTGTAGTGGATGTTACACGCTTTCTGAAGTTTTCAACAAGTCGTCCAAGGAAAAGATCGAGAAGCTACCTAAGTATGAGAACTGGAGCAGTCATAAGCTGGCTTGTCTGCAGTTCACAATGGTTTTTACATCATGAAGACAGTCAATGACAACTTACTTTCAGGGTTCAACAGACGAACCGAAGCTCGTGGCTTTATCCCATTACCAACTGCTAAATGGAGCTCGAGCAACTGTCACAGCTTTCCGAATCATGAAAGAGGTCAGCAATACTTCTTATTCTGAACAACATTTTGTGTAATCTCAAGAAAATTGCATTCGTAAACGTTCTTATCACGAGAACCCGTTACAGCATGTGCTCTGTTGTGCCCTTCCAATTTTCCGGATACCAATATTCTCTCTTGTCTGTCTTTCACCCTTCTTAACAGAATGTAGAACGGTATTTCCTGAACCCTCGCCTCTTCCTCGTAATCTATTTGCCAGCGTGAATAAGTACAAGTATGTCTTGAAGTATTGAAGCTTATAATTATAATAAGTTCTTTCTAGTTGCACAACCCTATTGTCTAACGGAGCAGCCTTAAGACTCTTACTGAAGATCTCACAATCTCAACGTGTAAAATTGAATCAACTGCAGAATATATTATTGATAGGAGACCGAGTTTCCAGAGAAGTCCTTCAAATCATTCAACAACAATGTCAAAACGTCAAAATTATTGCTGTACGGCCCTTTTTATATCTAATATGATTTAAAATTTCAATTCAGGTTGGCTACTTGCTCACTGAAACTGGATCCATTCCCATTCTTGGTGATGAGACCACTGATTTTACCCGAAACGTTGGTCGGGCAATTGCTGGATACGAGGTTCGTTGAAAATTCGAAATTAATTTCTCTACTAAAAGGAAACATTTCGTGTGCTATGGCTATATATGGCTTAAACTTTGCATGGAGAATAGTAAATTCAAGCAATTAGACATTCATTTCAGATCAGTCTGCAGTCTCTCACAGGAAATGGAGAAAAAGTGCCTGAGAACCAATTGGGCTTCTTGCACATCAGAACATATTTCGGTAGCACTTTCCTGGGATATGCTCCAGAATGTACAGGAAAAGAGAAATGGCTGGATACAGGGTACCCTTCTGAATTCTATTTTCTCATACGTCTTTCTCGTAACAGTGATGTTGCTCGCATGGATGCTCAAGGAAACGTTGAAATCGTCACCAACAAGGAAGATTTGATATTTGACAAGAACAACGGTCTTGTTGAGCATTGGAATATTGAGAGATTATTGAATCAAAACGAATTAATCAAAGGAATTCAGGTGAGAGAGAAAGCAAAACCCTTTGGAGTCGCAGTTTCAGGTCATTTCCATTGGTCGTGGAAAGCCCGTAACAGCTGTTTGTGTCATGAAAAATCCTGGCAGTAATGCAGTTTATGTTCGTAATGAATTAGTAGATATGTGTCGTAATCACAGGGTAAACTCTCTCCTAAATTCACAGCTTTTAACAACTTTCATTTCATTTCAGTTTGCAATTCCTGATCAGTTTGCTTTCGTTGATGACTTCCCTCGAGTCAATACAAAGATTCAGAAGTATCGTATTCGAGAATTGGTTGCCAGCGGCAAAATCTCTATTGTCATGTAACATTCTGTAATTTGAACATACTATAAACTATTTTTCATTACATTATTTAAACATAACTTAAACAGAGTTAAGAGAGATGAAGCAGTAACGATGATGTCACAAGAGGTGAGGGTACGATAGTGAGAGAGTGAGAGAGAGTGTGAGGGGGAGATGGAAGATAATCTGATAATTCTGATGAATTTTTCTTTTTTTTTCAATTCTATTCACAACAAAGCATACGACAACAATTAATAATTAATAGAAGCTAATGGATGAGAAGTTATATTACGTAATCACCTGGATTTATACTATTGTCACAGAAGGCAATAAAGAACGTTTCACAATGTTTAGCTTAAAGCATTTCCTTTTTTACGTTTTCTTTCCTAATATCTACGAGAGTTCAAGATAATTGGCAATACATATCATTAATCACATGGAACCGGCAGTAGCATTTTGAACAAAGCTGAGTTTTGAACATCTTATCACGTCAAGCTATTCAGATGACGTTTGAGCTTAACACTTGACGTGCAACTATCATGGATATCAGTAATGAGCACCATGATGCATATGATGATGCTGTCTTGGTAAATCCAAAACCAGCTGCTTCAGCTTCTTCTTCCGCAGTCTTAATATCTTCTTCTTCTTCTTCGTCTGAATCATCATCATCGTCATCTTCTTGACGTTCTTGTTCACGCTGACGTGAGTGTTCAATTAGTTTCTTCATTTTTTCTGCGGCTTCTTCTCTCTCAATTTCTGCCAACCGTTCTTCTTCATCTTGATTTCTTCGCTCCTCGGAACCGCGTCCACGATCACGTCTAAACAACTTTGAGTTTTGAACAATTTGTTTCTATATTTTACCTTTCACTAGCACTCAAACGGCTTTTTTTTGCATTCAAACTAAATGATTTAGCTTGTCTAGTTGGTACTTCATCCTCATCTTCAAGTTCGCGTTCTTCATCCTGTAGAAGCTCTTTCAATCGCTCATCTTCTTCCTTCATTTCTTTCTCCAGTTTTTTACGAGTCTCTTCGAAGGTATCATCGAAACCAAACGCACTTTCAGTGGGCAAAGGTCGAGGCTCCTGTAATACCCATTGTAGAAAAAAAACAAAGCTTTAGAACAAATTACTTCGTTGGTTAGGATACGATCATCATCTTCCTCATTTGCGTCATCTTCTTCATCATCATCATACATCTCATCGACTGGTAGACGTGTTGGTTTGCGTGGAAGCTAAACATAACATAAGAATGAAAAAAAACGAGTTAGAGCAGTACCTCATGATACTTCGCTCGAGTTGTTGTTTGCGGCTCTGTTGCTGTAGTAGTAGGTGGACGATGATGAACTTTGTTGCGCATAGTGACTCTATGAAGCTTCGAAGATGAAGTAGGTTTCACAACTTTTCTAGTTGTGGTTGTTGTGGTTGGGTCTTCAGCTAAGCAAGAAAATGATTACATGATACCCTACTGAAAGCTACCTGGAGATGCATTGTCTTCCAAATCTTTAACGATGGAAGCCATTCGCTTCTTATCACTAGTAGTGAAAGCTTCATACAAGTTCTTACTTGTTTCGGCTTCATTACAGTTATCTTTAGCTCCACACCAGCATCTAACACTTCCCGAAGGTTTGCGTTGGCAACCTAAGAGCAGATATTTGAATACACAGCAGCGTTACTAAGAATACTCACCAGTTACAGTGTCATATTCTCCAGGATAGACACATACAAGTTGATTTCTATCGTACAACTTGGCCCACTCATACCATTCAATATGGTCACCGCTTACACGAATACGACAACCAACAGCTGTTTGTGAGCATTTCTCTGGTACCAAACCGTATCCTGAAAGATACAACATTAAATAATTCCATCCCTCCTGTATTGTTCATGTTATTTCGGAAAATAGAAAAAGCAACGACGAAGGAAGAAAAGCTTCCTTGTCTATGATTCAGGCTTCTCCTTATTTCTATATTAGAATCGTTTTAAACCATTCAATGGAATGTGTTCGTAATTTGGATTGCTATGTAGGGCTATAAATTAGCATAAATTAGAATAGAATAGGTCACGTATGTGTTTGATTTAGACAACACATACATGAGGCTTAAACATCTTTTCATAAAGAGCTTTTGTGGCTCAGCTGTTGACCAGACAATTCTCACATGTTCTTTCTCATTACATGAGGATGAAACATATAAGACATCCAAAACGGATAGAAGATAGGGGGGGGGAGAATGATGTTTACAAATCTCTTGTAACCGTGAATGGCAATTCTCAGTTAGCCTTTGATTCGTCTATCTCTCCCTCTCATACCATGTAATGGTATCTCATTAATTACATTTCTTTCAGCTTAAATCAACAAGATGCTATAAATGTAGAAAGCAATGTGAATTTCATTCAATATTCTTGTTTATCACATGTTACACCTTACATCCATACCATATTTGAACTTGTTTATCCATAAACTCATCCTATGCAAATCTTCCTCAATAGCTTTCCCATTCAAAGTTTATTTTTCAATGAAAATTGGATGAAATCTAAGCATTTAAGTAGAAAACGTTGAGAATAATGAATTATGGCCAATTTCGCCTTTTATGGCTGAGCATTTTCGTTTAAGAGAGACAGAGAGATAGAGATAGAGAGAGAGAGAGAGAGATAGAGCTACGTCAGTTGATGCAAATCACTCTACAGAATATTCAAAACTCAAATTTATTTTTTTTTCCTTCGATTTCAGAGAAAAAGCCAAATAGCTTTTCATTTTCCTACAATAGAGTGTTTGAAAGAAGAGTTCCAAGAATGATTGAGGATTCTCGTTCAATTTTTTTTTTCTGAAAAAAAATGGAATGATCATATCCATCATACTAGGATGATCTCTCTCTTTCTCTTGATGCTTGTTTTGGCTTGTCAGATATTCAACCCTCAGGCAATATATCTCCCATGTTCGGACATGTTTCATCGAAAATCATCAGAATTATAACAATCCATCGTCTTGCATGGCATTCATCCTTGCAAGGAAGAAGGGTATGGGCGATGAATGGTTCCAAGAAACTTGTTATCTATCTAATTAGGAATACGATTAAGAGGTAGATGATGATGACAATGAATCAAAGTCATGCATATACAGAACTCTTTCTCAAACACTGTTTTTGTCTATCCTTTTGTAATTGTGAAATGAAGAACTTGCTGGTCAGTATGCGAACAAAGACAAATTAATGTCAGAATGCAATGAGGCATCACTGTCATACAAATATGGTAAAGACCGTGACTTGTAGAGAGTTGCTTGAAGGAAGATTCCTTATTTATATAGCTTTACAAATAGTAAAAGCTGGCTAAGATAGAAAGGCATTCTGTGCAGAAATTGCCGGAAGAACGTGACAACGGCTGTCGGCAACAAGAAGCGCCATATTCGGGATGAGAAAGAGGTCGGACAGAGCAATAACCATCGCATATAATGAAATATTCTATACTATATGTTATATAATATATTTCTATCTCATACTGTGCATAGTTTGAGACAGTCTTTTATATTCTAATTTTCATCTATTTGAAGGGCAATTCTCATCAAAAATTCTTTTACATCCACATATGGTGACCATTAGATGAATAACATCTGGATGTTTCAAGCTTCATCCTTATTGTGAGTTGATGTTATCCAGTGAATGATGCTTCTGCTATGAAATTCATGGAACATTCAAAGCTATTTCTTACTACAAGTTCATCAAATGGCTTTATCAATTTTCTATAAAAATTTAAAGAAAATGAATTGTGTTGAAGTGAGAATGAAGAGGAGACGAGAGAATCTAGAGAAAGAGAGAGAGAGAGAGTTAGTTGAAGACACTTTCTTCTTCACTTCCGCTACTTCTTCGTTCAGTTCAGACAAGGATAGAAAGAGAGAGAGAGAGAGAGAGAGAGAGAGAGAGAGAGAGAGAGAGAATAGAAAAAAGCTGTATGATTGGCGATGATGCTCTCTTGAACAATCACTTGAAACAACTTCAAGCTGCTTATTCAAAATATATTTTTTTCATTTCATAGATATTGTTTGAAGCTTCATCATGTACACTCATCAGCGAAGGGCAACGAGTTTGTGTAAAATGTAAAATAAAGCAAAAATATGAAAAAAAGAGGAAAAAGAAGAGAAAGAGAAGGATAGAAGATGTTGCACAATTTGTTATTTGAATCATGACTTGGATGGATATGCTTGTGGTCATCAACAGCAGTCAGTCTCATCATTTTCTGTCAAAAAGGGCTACAACGACATGAAGTGTGGCAAAGAAAATAGAAGATGAAAAGATCTCATCCATATATGGAAATATTGTGTTATCGGCTTCACATCGAAATGTCAAAAATATCAACCGTGAGATATATACATTTGAAGAAAGACGGAAACGACTATAACATAGATGAAAAGAGAGAGAGAGAGAGAGGGACATAAGGGTTAGGGTTAGGAGGGTTAGATAGAAGAGAAGAAGCTCATCTGAATGTTTGAATTTTATAAGAAATATGTCAAAATGCTTTCTTAACTATTCTATCTATGCGAATATACTTTTTACTTCCTTAAGTTTAATCGATTTACATTAGGCTTTTGTGATGAATGAATGAATAGAAAGGAAGGAAATTCCAAAACATTTTCAATGAAATGAATTAACTATTATACACATAGTTAGCCACTTGTTTCGCATATCTTCATTGTAGGCTCGAAAAAATGAAAAAAAGGCGACACAGAGTGACCATAAGCCATGAGCAAAACTTCATCAGACAACTCAGCAATCACATAATCAACCGTTCAATACATCTGCATATACTGTCTATCCATTATTCTTGTTTTATATGTAGTCAGTAGGGATGAAGCACATCAACATCATCTTTAATATCTTTGTGATTTGCTACACTTCTGTGTGTTTCTCTCTAGACATTCGTCCGACCAACTCTTCTTTCTTTCCTTTTTTTTTAAACTTCGTCTTGTTCGGCAAAGCAAAAACTAAACTCAAACGAGCTTGGGCTTTCAGACGAAAAGCAATTACATTTGCAAACTTTTTTTTTTCGTTGAAAAACGTTCAACATTGTCTTTCATAAACTCTTGCAGGGCTACTGATGATCAAGGCAGTTCGTCGTAGATGGTCACATTGGATGACAAGGCTATAGAGATGCTCTAATATGACATTCTTATACTGATGAGATGAAGTTAAAAGAAAAAGCAATGAAATTGAGGACGTCGATTGAATTCGATTGGCGCGAAAACGAAAATGTTGACCACGCCATAAAAGGAAGTTAAGCATTGAAAATCACGGTTTGTTAGGTTGCAAATGGCAAACGTTTGTTTAAGGACGATCTAATCGCATTTGGAAGGATTAAAATCTTCCAAAAAAAAAAAGAAAAAAGGAGGAGAAGACGGAAAAGAAATGCGATGGTGAGAAAGAGACAAGGTGGGAGAGATTCTGTTCACAAGACTACTGACAAAGAAAGAACAGAAGATGTGGAAAAAAAAGATTTTTTTGTTATTCCTTAACATTCCATCTCTCTTTCTCTTCCTATATATGTATATACATCATTCTACCTCTTTTTTTTTATTCACAAAGAGAAGATATTTGAATACAAGAGAACATCTCTGTTCTTCTCCATCACCCCCCCCCCCCCCACTCTCCTCACTCCTTCCATCGTCTTTCCGTCATGTGAATGAACAAGCCTTTACTCATTCATTACCGTTCCAATGATTTCTTTATTTGGTATTTTTTGGTTTTCGTAAATGAAAAGAATAAAGTAATATATAATTGAATTGTATTGTTTCTTTTGCCTTTTTTAATAGAAAAATGAGAGAAACGATGACAATCAGATGATTCAAGAGTTGTCATTCACCATATACTATATGATATAATCAATATGAAAGATTAAGAATCTTCAAAACAGCTTTTAGCAACATCTTTCATCTTTTACATTCTTAACTCATAAATAAAAGGAAATTTGATCTGTGAAGAAAAAGGAAAAAACGGCTGAAGAACGTGAAATGAAATGAAAGTCAAAACGTTCAAGAAGCTTAACGGTGAATATTGCTTCAACAAAGAATTGCCACACAAACACTATTGAAGATTCAAAGAGAGAGAGAAAGAGGGAGAGAAAGAGAGAGAGAGAGAGGGAGAATGCATACTTTTTAAGGAAGAGAGCTTAAGCTAGCTAGATTCCAGATTGTATATGAGAATCAAAAAAGGAAGACGTTGTCACCGATTAAGATGTTGCCGTATAAGAGAGAGGGAAAGTTTGATTGAATTATAATTGATTCGAATGTACTGATGAGATGCTTTACTGTTGTAGATAGTTGAAAGTAAGATGAAGAGAGAGAAAGAGAGAGAGAGATTCGAATGGAATGCAGAGAGAGAGAGAGAGGTTGAAATGGGTGAATAGAGTATAAGAGATTGAAAGTTGTAAAAAGGAAAAGAGAGAGTGAGAGAGAAAGAGAGAGAGAGATGGTAGGAGGTAGTGAAAGTATAGAGGGAAAGCTCAAAATGGAAGAAAAGAAATATAAGATTTGTATCGAATTTCTTTCTTTTCGGTCGTTCTCCTATTCGGTTTGAGCTCATAAAAATCCGCTCACATTCTTCATTCAAGCTTCTTATATTTCGTCTTATTTTGTATTACAAATAACACTAATCGCTACATTATAATTAATTGTTTAAAAAATACAAAAATGAATGATTAACTATATGTATTTAACTATATATAGTTAGTTAAGAGAAATTTTATATGTTAATGAAGTGAGGTGAAGCTTTTGAAGTGATCATCGCTTCAAGTGTTTCATCTCTTTTTGAGCAGAACGACGACGACGACGACAACACTCTCTATACCAATGAATAACAAATAGTGATAACTACTTATAATTAGTTATAGTTAGATATAGTTAATGCATTTATGGATATATAAAATGAAACATACCAGGACGAATGACAAGACAGCTTATAGCATCAACAACTTGATATTTAAATAATAATATACATAGTATTATAGTTAGTAATAATTTCATTCTGTTTTCAAATAGTTATAATTGTTCTTAACTATAACATAATATAGATTAGAATGAATATGCTTGTATATGGAAATATCAGTTAAATTCACGTATGCACTAGATGTACATAGATGATGTTCCAAGCTTTGCTTCGTGCTTAAGGGCGGAGTTTTTATGCTCCGCCCACCATCATTGTGTTGTCTGTCTCAACATCTTACTGCCTTTCTTACTCTCTTTGTCTCTCACATTTGCTTACTATCTCTCATATACCCTCTCTAGATCTTATACTATCTATTTCATTTTGCCCCCTCTGATTTGTTAGTTTTTCGACTGATTGGCTTCACAGTAGACTTAGTGAAACACAGAGGAATGTTCTCTTCATCTCATATCTATTTCCTCACTTGATGTCGTCATATTCTGGGAGCCGCAGAAGTTTGACGTGTTCTCGTAACGTCCTTTCTACCTTTCTACTTTACCTTTTTTTCTCTATTTCTCTCAATCTCTCTCAATCTGTCTCAATGTCTTTAATTCTCCCACCCTTTAATAGAAGCAGGAAAGTTGACCGAAGACAGAGAGATGAAAAGTAAAGCTAGGAGGTCAAGTCAATGCAAAAAGGAATAGAAGAAGAAGCAATGAAAACAAAGAATGAAAAAAAAGGAGGAAACATAAGGAGTCTCAATGGATTAGATAATCTTCTTCTACAACATCTTCTTTGAGAGAAAAATTATTTTTAAAGCTCGGCCCATGTGTCAGAAAGCATAAAAATTGAAACAAAAAGATGTCTATGTTAAGATAAGATTAGATTTGTTGTTAATGAGAGCGCAAGTCTTTAAATGGAATTACATATCTAAACCGCTGTTTCTTGACCACTCTGATACATACATAGACACACGCCAAATACACTCTCTTTCTCTCTCTCTCTATATCGTACTCTCTATTACTATCTCTCTGTGAGTTAGCTTCAGCTTTTCCTCTCTATTGTCATGAAGATGCGCTCACAAGGCCAAGTCATTCACTAACAAGAGATCAGAAAATTACAAATTTCCTTCTAGCTTAAGCTATTTGCCCGTTCCAATTTCACTTATTTTATTCAATTTATGCTTTTAGCACCAAATTAGATAGGCAAACTATCTGTTAACTTATATCGTATAGCTTAGCTGGTACAAATTCAGTAAATCAGCTAGTTATACGAATCAAAAGAGATTCATCATACAACGGATTAGATGTATATAGTTGTTACAAATGACCTACTTTATAAAGTTTTAATGAAAGTGCAGACAAGCTTGAAGCTTGACATGAGCTTCAACATCATTCTCTGATAAGTCATGTTCGAAGAGGTTTACCTTTTCATCTAATTACTTTGAACCATATGGTTACTATTCACACACACGCATATGACGATCGGAATACCTTTTGATAGCTAATGCTTGTACAAGCTTCTCCAATAACCATATAAGTCATTTGGTAATAAGGTGCAATAAGCTTATTAATGAAGAAGCATTAAATGGTTATGTGTGAATGTTTCATAATGTTTAAGATGATCTTATACATGGGAATAATCGTGAACATCAGAGGTTAGAGATGAGCACTACCATGTCGGCCTTCTATGGGAACAGAGAGAGAGATATACAGGTAGATGTTAGAAGATTTGCAGTCCTTGCATATATATGGTAAATAGTAGCAGATAAGAGATGTCTCTTCTCTTACTTCTGCACCAAAAAGAACAATCAAATACAAATGAGGGGATGAAGCTCATATTCGTTTATTTGTCAGATGGCAATAAGAATGTCAGCCTTTTGTGAATATCGTTCGATCCTTTCTCTTTTACTTTATATCATATAAAGTTAGAAAAAACAGAGAAGAGAAACCCAACAACGAAATAGTGTGAATGAGTAAGAGATATCATATATAATAGAATACTATTTACTTTAACAAGAAGTCTCATTCTGTCACAGCAGCGACAGCCTATCCTAATTACCAAACGGTGAGATATCCTATATGATTGGATAGAGTAGGTGGCAATACGCCAACAACTTTCATTCACTTTAATTTCTCCTTCTGCTTATAGTAATGCTCACACATACACTTTATTCATCATTCGTGAGTGTTCACCTTCTATTCTATTAATCGTCATCGATAGACAAGCCTTTTGATGAAGATGAACACCCTCGTCAACCAACCCCTTTAACTAAACATCATCGAGAAAGCTTCTTCTTCTTCTTCTTCTTCTTCGTCTTCTGCTTCTTCATCTCTATTTCATCTACCGTTCTTATGAAACTATGTGATTCTTTCCATCTTACTTTTCAATTTCTCACTCAAAATGTAAACGAAAGAAGAATAAGGTACTGGGAACATGAGCTGATAGAAGCTTCAGGGAACTTTCACTAAAAGCAATACCTTTACGTCAACCATTCTCAAACACAAGACCCTGCAGACAAACAAGAACAAAGATTTCAAAGAAAAAAAATATGAAAATGGATGAAATAGGAAGCTGAATAATTGACCAAAAATGGAAAGAAAACTATAACGAGAGCGTACCTCATGAACAACCAACACTACCACTTACATTGCAATAAATGAACTTTCAAAACAAAACAAAACTGTTTGATGCTCATGATAATCAGCAATTGCCCGCCAAATTCATAAATTCAATTTTCTACTCAAAATAATATTTGAAATTGAAAATATTCGTAATAATTCTCAATTTTCATGCAATTCCCCAGAGGTAATGAAGGCATAGCGCACTTAGTTCAGACAAGAAGGAAACGTGTCATCAGATAATCACACATTCAACAATTCCCCAACGTCTTCAACCAATCCTACACATTCACAAGTTCGTTTTGATTTAATTTGACAATCCGTGGCTTGTCCTTTAATCTCTTTAAAGGTCAAAAACAAGTTGCTTTTCAAGTTTGTTTTTAAACTTTACATTATACAATTATTTGCATTCTTATGCTTTCTTTAAAATACTTTTAAAATTTATTTTAAAATCGTTTTTTTTCTCTCTTTCTCTCTCTCTCTCTCTCTGTAGGCAATTCTCTCTCTGTCTTTCATGTTCAATGCTTACCATATACACTCCCATCATTTCATTTTTTCACACACACGCACTCTCCTTCCCTCTCTTCCTTCCCATCTCTCTCTCTCTCTTTCTCTCTCCCTCTCTCCCTCTCTCTCTCTCTCTTCACTACATCCTTTGATGACAAAAGCATGTGATTTGATGAGCTGACGATAAGAAAGTTTTCAATTTTTTGTTTTAAATTTATATTGAAATGGTATTTTGATGTTTTACAATTTCTTTGTTCCAACAGTTCTAACCATTCTCATTTCTTCTATCCCATCGTTCTCTCTCTCTCTCTTTCTCCCCTCATCACCGTCCCCTTTCTCTCTCTCCCTCTCTCTCTTTCTCTCTTAACATATTTCTTTCTTTGTCTCTCTATCTATCTCTCTATCATACATCTAATGTTTCTTTCTTCATTCTTCATCCATCTTTTGATTTCACGTGGAAAGCGTGAGCGACAGCGAAACACACACATCAGCTGACTTTCAAATAAAATTTTTAACAAAAATTATTTGAGACAATGACTGTCTGAAAATAGTTCATCAATTGAAGAGATTCAAAAGAAGACAGTTAGAAGTACTTTCTATGTTTGGCAATCGGCACGACATTTCAAAGCTGAAATTATCATTTTTCGCCTTTTTTCATGATTTGTGCGACATTCTCAATTCTACTTTGTATTGTAATTGGACTACATGAATGGTCGAAGAGGTAACTGTTTCATTCATCTATCACATACATCATCTGAACTATCTCATCTATACAATCAGTCTGCTCATTCAATTCTTCTACTTCTATCAAGAAATTGAAAGAAAAGAAAAAAACATTCTCATTTACTCCTCCAAGCTGATTGAACTGATTGTACACAGTCTCTCGTCAAAGGTTTCCCATTCTTTCGCAAAACAGATACACCCATAAACTCATACATAGACTCATACACACACACACATACTGAAAGGTTAGATTAATTTCGGATTTTTCTAAATCAATACAAGTTTCTGTGAAGTTTTGTTTCATTTTTTTTGTCTCTCTATCCTTCTCTCCTTCTCTCTTCACATCTCTCTCTTTCTCTCAAACGCCATATTGAATACAAAACATATTGTTGTTAATAAAGGGAATATTCTCTCTCTCTCTCTCTCTCTATTGACAACAATATGAAACAGAAATAAAAATCTTTCATGTTGTTGATGAAACACTTTGTTTTATGAAGTAGCGATTTTTCGTTAATTGAATGAGCGAATAAGCTAATAGGCAAACTTTTTTTAAGCTGTTTGACAACTTTTCTGACTTTTGTCCTTTAAATTCTCTCGAAATCGGATGTAATTGGAGATTGTCTATGATTAATCCCTTTCATTTCTTTACTGATTTCTGATAATTTTCGTTGCGATTACAGAACACTTCAGTCGATTGAGAAGAAAGATCAAGATATAGAGAGAGAGAAGAGAGGAAGAGAGAGAGGGAGAAAGAGAGAGAGAGAGAGAAAGAAAGTCAAAGTAGAAAAGCTTTATTCCATCTTTATATTCATTTTCTCTTCCACTTCCTTCCTTTTCAACTTCTAATTTTAAATCATAGAATCCTATAATGAAGATGTAATTTGAATATTCTAATAAATGCAATAACACGTGATATTTCACGTGAAACAATCACGTGAATATACTGAAATAATGCATTATTACGTTTCTTTCGTCACAGAACGGTTGTCTTCTGATTTGGCTGCAAATTTTCATCAACTTCGACTCACCTATTACACTGCTTGTTGATTTACAAAACATCTGCTAATTCTGCAGCATAACTTCATAACCGTGTTCAAGTTGAATGGTTATTGTTTATTCTGTTGAAAGCTGGATTAATAATCATCGAAGATTCATATGTTGTACTTCTGAAGTTCAACATCTCATTGTGAAACAGTGTTCTGCTTTGCAAAAGCTATTCATATACTTGCCCTTTGCTTATACTTCCATGTCTGGCTCTCTATAAGCTCTTTTTCTTTTTTCTATATCTCTTCAAACAAATTTCTCTCCCTTTCTTCTCTTTCTCTCTCTCTTTCTCCCTCCCTCTTTCTCTACCTTCTCACCACCTTTTTTACCTTTCTAAACTGATATATACATATATATATTTATTGAAATAAGACCATCCTCTTCCATGTCTGGCTCATCGTGTTAAGCCAATTGAATCTTTATTTTACTCACGATTTCAATGAGAAACGAGACGACCATTAAAACGAACAAAACCAAATATAGCAGTGTCCGGTTTTTGGTTTTCTGGATGACAAAAAAATGGATGAAGGCGACGATAGAAAACGGAAAGAAGCGGATGGCCGTCCCTGTCAACATAAACGGACGAACGGACGGAACTCTTTGTTTGCGCAGTCAAGACGGCCCAAAGCCACACCCTGCGTGTTGTCGTCAACCGCCGTCATCGGGCGCTGTTGATGATGTTGACGTCGTTATGGTGTTATCTTCTTCTTCTTCTTCTTCTTCTTCTTCAGCCATAAATATCCATTATCAGCATTTGAAGTCTGCTGGTATCCTGAAGAAGATCCGCTTCTTCCACTTGTTTATTATAAACAAGGCCAGTCATTTAGCCAGCCAGTGTCATTCAGTCTTACGCAACCTTCTCTCATGTATACCGGATGAAAAATAGAATTTTACAACCGTCCAGATTAATTAGTCATAAGGCGTTTTGAACTTGTTTTTTTATGTCCTCAACACCTCAATGAATGATTTCCTGTCTTTTCTCGCCTGTCATTTTCACTCCCCAATTGCTCAGACAGTTTTTGGTGTCAAAATCAGTTCTGGTCTTCTGAATTCCCTCAGACACAATGGGTGTTTCCTGTTTCTTCTAACCAACAATCTCGTAATCTAGCACTTTAATTCATTCATTGTTTATCTCTAACACATCATTTTCATATGATTTCTATAGGGAAAACATGTTCTGAATATCTAAAAGTCCATGGAATTCATGAATCAAGCTTAACCATTGTCTTTTCACTTCCGTCAGGTCATCTGCCAATGCTTGACGACGAGAATAAAAAAGACAACTTTTCGAAATTCCTCAGGCTGTTTGCCACATACCCTTGGCAATTCACAGCCAGAAGCCATATGTACTTCTTTAGATTTCTATTCATCACCAATCACTTTGCATCCAGTTCCACTTTTGCTTCAATGAATTGGTGACAAAAAAATCTTTTTTTTTCTTCTTCTTCACAAGTTTTCAAAATATTTTTTTTTCTATCAAAAAAAAGGCAAAAAATTTTATTTCATGCCTCTCTGCGAACATTCCTTCTCAAAAGCTAAGACAGAGATAACTCATCTTCACTTGTATGTTGCATGATTCTGTTCAAAATCGGAATACGAGCTTCGCCATCAATCAATCTTTCGGTTTTCGATATTTTCTTGACCACTTGGACTTCTTCTCATTCCTTCAATCATCTCAGGTCAAGATGACTTGTTTGTGCTTCCATCTTGTCTTCAACGGACGGATAACCTCACGAGACAGATAAACGATGACAAGAAGAGCAACAACATGCCTTTCTCCTCTTTATCCTTTCTCACTTTTTGTCCCTTCGTCAGCCTCAAGGGAAATTCATATCTTTTCCTTTTTCTGCTGCTTTCTATCAACTTTCTTGTTGCTCATTGTCATTTCTTCTCATTTCCAAATGTAATGCCATGAAAGCAAATTCATTTGAACTTTTAAATTTTTTTTTATTCTGCTTGAAATGTAACTGTTTTTTTAATCCGCAAGAACATTTCGTGACGGAAGCTTTGAACTAAAAACATTAATGCAAAATGAGGCTATTGCTGTCATCTTTGGTTCTCAGGAAGCTCACCGATACCTTCATTCCTTTTCGTTCTTTTCTCTGCTTTTTCCTCTCTTGATCACATGTCTTTTCCCCTTTACTAGTCAAGCTTCCAATAAACTCGCTTAGACCAAAGAACTTTCGTCTCTTCGATTAAATATTAAACCGACTGTCCTTGAGTACAATCTGCTTTGGAATTAAGTTGTACTTTCATTGCGTTCAAAAATGGACCCCAGTAAGCTTTTGGCAGAATGCTGAAGGCGGAGTCAGACACCCATGTGATGTTCATATTAAGTTTTGAGGCTTCTCTACACGTGCTATTCCAAGCTTAATCTCAATTCGTTTTTTTATTTATTTACTAAACAAGTACCTTTCATCAGCCATTGTGTGAGACTATCTCCATAAATGGACAACACTTGTCAATGTGGTCGCCTTTCACTTTTTCTTCAAAGTTTACAACTTGGGTTAGTTTTTTTTATTTCCGCTTATGTTCGTCCACTTGTTGCACCTCCCGACCGGTTCAGTACATTTGACTTATCGCTCCTTCTCTTCGTCTTCTTCTGCTTAGCCTGTCTTTTCTTCCTTCCGTCTGTCCACCTCAATCCTCAGCAGCAAAAAGCAAGTCGGAGAGCAGCACTGCCAACAAAAAGTAAAAGCTGCACACCCCCACTCCTCTCTCTCTTCTCTCACAACTACGCATTCCTCCAACGAATTGTCTTACTCATTATTCCTCTTTATAATTACCTCTCTTGTGTTATCGTTTGCTCACGTTTTTTTAATCAACTTTTTCCACATTTTCAATCTAATTAGAAACAAAATCTACGACGAAATTCGCGATTCATCCCAAATTCTTCATCAACATGTAGTTTTTTGACGTTTCAATCTGGTTATTTGCTTTATCTATCTGCTTTTTCTCGTTTCTTCATCTTTTGAACTTCAGAAATTTGACCGTTAGCATCTACTGTTCACTGCTTGGCACTTTCAAATATGCCCTCGTTCCATGTATCTCTCTCTCTCTCTCTCTCTCTTCTTTCGGAAATTTTTATTAAGAGAAAGAGCAAGAAAATGAAGGGAAATAAGAGATCATAAAGCTGTTATTGGCAGTCCAAACTCGTATTTGAATGACCAAAAAGTGAAATGTTTTGAAGTTTCGTTCACCTGTCCATTCCATGCTTTAAAAAAGACACATTCATGTATTCCGAAGATTGATTACCAAACGAGAATGGATGTATGTTTACCGCGTCTTATTTTCCATTTCTGTCATTCTCATCGCAACCCTCCCCTTAACGTTTCCTGGCAGGACAATCATCATTGAAACGGCACAATACTCAAACTTCTGATATAGTTGGGCCTGTAAATTTCAAAAATTATTCTCAATACAATATTGAAATTGAAATTATAAAAGCTGTGTTTTAAACTGAATACTTACTTTGTGGGAAGTTTCGTAAGCTTTGCTTAAACAACAAGCACATGTTTTATCGTTATAGCAGAAATTTAGCATTGGCGCATTTTTCGTGTTAATATCTCAAATACCCATGTACCGAATAACTTTTATTTTGTTTTTCTATGTTTCAAATTTAATTGACTGATAGCTATTGTTTCAGTTAAAATGTCTCTATATTACAACTATGATTAACCATGCAGATTATTCACTTTAGCAAAAAACAGTACATTTGTAGGGAATGTACTATGCAAACAGTTTGTGTATGTTGTTGGTTCTAATGAACATTTTGATAAGCTGACATCAAAAAAGTCTTTAAAACCATAAAAAGAAGATGACGAACTAACTAGATATGACATCAAGGCAATGCTGCTGTTGCGGCGCTCGCAAAACGTAGCGAGTTTGCCTAAGCGCTCTGTTTCTCTGATGCTTATTGCGTTTGAATCAGGTCTACCTACCGGTTCTTCGGACACTTTTATATACCATATTAGACACAATCCATATGTTATAATGATGTGTCATAGACACAGAAAGCTAGCTCAATATATTTTTTTACCTTCTCTCTCTTTCTTTTCATAGTTTTCTCTATAAATGCTTCCCTTTTACCCTTTCTCTCAATATCTCGCATCGACTGGTGTACTGTTATCAATTGACAAGAGCAGCAGTAGAGTAGAGAATTAGGAAAGAGAAACTCTCAATGTATTTGTGAGCCTTTCGTCGAGAAAAAACTCATTCCTTGAAAGTCTTCAAATATTGTTTTTATAACTTTAAATATTTAACTTTTTTACAGTATGGGAGCATGTCTCTGCAAAGAAAAGCGAAGACGAAGGAGAACAGATGATAGCGAAAGGTTAACTTTTTAGATTTCAATCTATTTTTACCGTTTCACAACAACTATTCGCACTATGCTAATCAATACTTTCACTCGTGAACATTAGCATATTGACGTAAATTTCACGTGAAGCTTTGTTTTTTTATTTTTAAAAGCGGATCCTAATTAATCGGTTGTTTTAGTGCTTCCAGTGGACCAGAATTACGTCGCAGTGACTCATCATCTCGGCGAAGGTTCAGAAGGCGTCGTAGTTTTGATTTGAGTAAGTTTTGGTCATTATTTTTATTCATGAGCTATGTGTTTCAGTCGATACAAACGATGATCAGAGCGGTGCAATCAGTGGCACTCAGTGGAAAACAATCGAAAGTGATATTCGTGAACTAATTCGGCAAACGTTACGAGTAATAAGAACTCTAGTCAATAAGTACGTCCAACAATCATATTTTCTTATGATGTTTTGAATAGGAAGCACTTTTGATGACAGTAAAAAGTAGGGGTTTACGAAATGAAAAATGTCAATGCTGCTTGATTTTGTTTATATTTTGCATTAAGTTGAAAAAAAAAAACAGCTGCTATCTGTTTTCCCTTTGTCCGAATCACTTTTATTGTTTACAATTCTTGTTTGGCTTTCTTAAACAAAGTTTTCAGTGAGCAAGAACCTCCTACTTCGCTTCTTAAATTAAACCTACTGGCAGATAAAGAGAATGGATGGATTATAGTTGTTAAAGCTTTAATTGATACAGTAGGTTCACTGAGTTGATCTTTCTCTATTCTCCCCATTCCAGGTTCCTGATGAAGATTCTTTAGGGCCTGCAGTAATTACATTATTCCTTGATGAATGCCCGTTACCATCTAGGGTAAGTTTGCTTTTGCTAAACAGATTTTCTAATGTTACACGTTTAAGGATACAGTTCATCGATTGCTATACTCGCTCAACTTACCAGAAAGGATAAATGATGATCCAGGATGGAACAAGGTTTGCTTTTTCTAGATTGTATGATCACAAATCACAAAAAATTTGCAGAATGCTTGTATAGTCCTAGGATCATTAGCCGAAAAGTTAGCCGGTTCCAGTAGTGTTGGCATGTGCACTCAAAAAACGCTGGGATATTTAATTAATAATCTCGTAAGATATTGATTATATTCTGTTAATTTGAATGTTTTCCTTTAGGCTCCACATAATCCCAAACAAGTTATACTATTCTCTTTATTAGCATTAGAGAAGTTTGCTCAAACTAGTGAAAATCAAAATATGATTGTACGAAATTTCGAATCTCGGGAAGAACATCCTTTGGAGGTATTCAGACTCGCATGCTTTATGATAAGTTCGGTTTCGTTTAGGTCTTGGAAAAATGGTTGCATGAGCCTTCTCTTAGAAATGATTGGTTAGCACATCAAGTAGCGTTTTGTTCGCAATGGTCCTTAGATAATATATGTGAGTTTCACCTCAGGAACCAAAACAACTGTTTGATTTTCTAGTTGTCCACAGTAATCGAGTTTATGCTTATGAAACTACTGACGTGTCGAAAATTAACGCAATGCTTAATCACGAGGATGTGAGCGAATATTTAAAAATTGGACCTAATGGCTTAGAGGTTTTTTTTTACCTTCAAAAGATTTCATACATCTGTTCTTTTTAGGCTCGTTGTGACGTTTCATCATTCGAATCAGTTCGTTGCACATTTGAAGTTCTGGAAGGTGCATGGTTCTACGAAGCCACGGTTCTCACTCCGGGAGTGATGCAAATAGGATTTGCAACAAAAAGGAGTCTTTTCCTTAATCACGTATGTTTCAAGCAGTAGATTGTTTATCATGTTTGTGTTTGAAGGAGGGGTACGGAATCGGAGACGATGAGTCTTCTGTGGCATATGATGGATGCCGGCAGCTTTTGTGGCATAACGCAAAATGTAGTCGTCATGAGCATCCTCCATGGGAAGCAGGTAGATATATATTTATGCTGTTTTCTCAATTTCGGTTTCAGGAGACGTTGTTGGTTGTTTATTAGATTTAACAAACGAGTTCATTCTTTTCTATCACAACGGAGTACCTCTTCAACGTCCGCACTTAGAGTTTTTAGGTAATTCATAAACCTCCCCACTTTTTACTATTTTCTCAAACTGTTTAGCTCGTAGACCTCAGAATGATGGTGTGTTTGCTGCTGCATCATTTATGTCTTTCCAACAGTGTCGTTTTAATTTCGGAGCTAGCGAATTCAAATATCCACCAGCGATTCCTTTTCGGTTTGTTTGACAATCAATTGGCTTTATTTATTTTCAATGAATTTTAGAACTTTCAATGTTGGCGGATCCCCTCTGTCTCTTTCACAGAAAACGATTTTGCCTCGTCGGCGGAGGTTAGAATTGCTTCAACGTGAACCTATACCCGAAGATTACTGTACTATATGTTTTGCTAACCCAGGAAATACTGTTCTGCGTCCTTGCGAGCACAGGTATGAATGATCCCTCGTTTTTGTTCAGTGAAGTTCTGTTTACAGTGGTTTTTGTGGGGACTGTGCGATGCAAATGGAGCAGTGCCCACTGTGTCGTAGCACAATTGAGTCAAGGCTTACATTTTAATTTATATTCTCACAAATATTATGAGAAGCTAACAGGTATACATACTCATATGTGAATGAGGTAAATCATGTGTAAAACTCGGGTTCAGCCTTCAAATCTTGTTTTATATTCTAAATTATTTTGTAAATATTAGTTACTTTGAATACTTAGGAGAAGGAGAAAGCTTTCATATTTAATTTTCTTTCCCCAAATCATGCTTGTACACATTGTTTTATTTTTTATGAAAAAAATCCGAATTTGCTCATTTTTTAAAATAAAAAAATTTAATTTTTGTCTTCGTTTGCTACACACTTTATGGTTCGAATTCCCAGTATCGTCAGAATTGATGTCTTTCAACAAACGTTGTTGTAACCTCTTGTTAGAATGCCACGCACGTTTGAGGAAGAATGTGATTACATCGAACGTCTTTCATCAGTTAAGTTCCGGATCAAAGAAGGGTTCGTGCCAAATATGAAGGTAAAGTGTGTTCTTTTACCTTCGCTGATTCGTCTGCCGATGTTTGGGTTGAGCCTAGAATTATAGGTCGAGGGAAGGTTTTACGTCAATAAAAACTTAGAAGGACTAATGTTCAAAGAACTAAAGAACTCTGTTAATTCGAACGGCATGTGTTTCTTAGAGCTTCGTTACCATTTCTCTTCGGAACTTCAGGGTTCGGAGGATTCCTACCTGCTGTCCGTCAAATTGCAAACGTTGCGGCTCTTCCCGGTATTGTTGGACATTCTATCGGTCTACCAGATATTCATTCTGGTTATGGGTTTGCAATTGGTAACATCGCAGCTTTTGATACTTCGAATCCAGAAGCTGTCATTTCTCCTGGTTTTCTATTCGATATTTTATATGACTCATCATTGATTTTTAGGAGGAGTAGGATTTGATATCAATTGCGGTGTTCGATTGATTAGAACTAATCTTTTTGAGAAAGACATTGAACCAGTGAAGGTTTCCATAAGCTCGGAACTGAAAAGAATCTTCTTTTAAGGAATCATTAACACAGTCACTGTATAATTATATTCCAGTCGGGGTTGGATCTCAAGGAGCTATACCGATGTCAGCTAATGATCTCATTGAGTAAACGGTGGATTTCGGATTACGATAAGGTTTTTTCTTGAAGATGTTTGGAAATGGGAATGGATTGGACTCTACGAGAGGGTTACTCTTGGGCTGAAGACAAGGAACATTGTGAAGAATACGGACGTATGCTTCAAGCAGATGCCTCTAAAGTGTCGACAAGAGCCAAGAAAAGAGGTCTCCCTCAGGTTTGATCCAACACCAAAAAAACTAGTAGCGTTCTATGTCCAGTTAGGCACATTGGGTGCTGGAAATCATTACTGTGAAGTTCAAGTTGTTGATGAAATCTACGATCGCCATGCCGCCAGTCAGATGGGAATAGATGATGTTGGTATGTGAGAAGTTACTGTTCACTGTTTATGCGTTATCTTAGGACAAGTCTGCGTTATGCTACATTGTGGAAGCAGAGGGTTAGGTCATCAAGTTGCGACAGATTCCCTGGTTGAAATGGAAAAGGCGATGGCTAGAGATCATTTGGTATTTAATGACAAACAGTTGGCGTGTGCTCCTATTAATTCCGAAGAAGGTTTTGTTATATCAATTCTTCCTGAAAAAAATTGATCACATAGGACAAAACTATCTGAAAGGAATGGCAGCAGCAGCCAATTTCGCTTGGGTGAACCGTTCATGTATGACTTTCTGTATTAGACAAGCATTTCAACACACATTCAATTCATCGCCCGATGACTTAGATATGCAGGTGTTGTATGATATAGAATTGAGCACTGAATTCGCAAAATTTAGGTAATTTATGATGTTTCCCATAATGTTGCGAAAATGGAAGAGCATTACGTGAATGGGCGTCCAGCTCAGTTATGTGTGCATCGCAAAGGAGCAACGAGAGCTTTCCCTCCTCACCATCCTTTGATTCCTGTGGACTATCAGCTCACTGGTTCTTTCACTCTTAATAGTATACAACCTTACGTATCAAATAGGCCAACCAGTTTTGATTGGTGGAAGTATGGGCACATGCAGCTATGTTTTGACAGGAACTGAACAGGGAATGGTCGAAACATTTGGAACAACTTGCCATGGCGCTGTAAGATTTGTTTTGCATAATTCAGCTGTGTCATTTTCGCATCTATGTTCAGGGAAGAGCTTTATCTCGCGCAGCCTCCAGAAGACTGATCACATGGAGTGATGTTTTAGACGACCTCAAGAAAAAGAATATATCTATTCGAGTTGCTAGTCCAAAATTAGTTATGGAAGAGGTGAGAATGCGAAGTAAAACGGTCTTTCAGAATAATTTTTCAGGCGCCAGACTCTTATAAAAATGTGACGGATGTGGTAGACACTTGTCATGAAGCTGGTATAAGTAAGAAAGCAGTAAAACTTCGACCTATTGCTGTTATCAAGGGTTAAATGAGATAATTCCTCACTTTTGTTGTTTGTTTGTTGTTGTAATATTCTGTCACTTCTCTATTGGTTCATAATTCTCAGAAAAGAATATATATAAGTGTATCAAAGTTCATTGTTTCCGATAGGTGTTCATTGTCGGTTTTGATTTTGTTAGTTGGCAACGATACGACGGCGATAGCTTCTCTCAACTGCTGCGGTTCTGGGTGGGCAAGGACAGTAAGCGGCGTCGCTTCCTGGCTGACCATCTGATCCTGGTTGTCCTGGTTGTCCGTCAGATCCAGAAGGTCCTGGATTTCCGGCTTGTCCTGCTGGTCCAGCAGGGCCTGGAGCTCCTGGTCCTAATGAAAACTTTTAGTAAATCAAGGGAAAGTATTTTACCTGATGGAGATGCTGGGGCTCCTGGCTGTCCTGCAGCTCCTGGTTGTCCTGGTTGTCCAGCTGGTCCAGGTGAACTGGTCGAGCGTGTTCCTGGAGCTCCTGGCTGACCGTCAGATCCTGGTGCTCCAGGGTTTCCGTTTGGTCCTGGTCCTCCTGGTGGCCCAGCTGGTCCTGGATTTCCAGCTCCACCTTGGCCGTTTTGTCCTGGGTTACCATCAGGGCCGGCAGGTCCTACTGGTCCATCTGGTCCAGGTGGTCCTGGTGGTCCTTGTGGACATTTGATGCATCCACTATCATGAGACTCGGATTGAGCAGCAGAGCCAGCTCCTCCAGATTGTCCGGCCTGTCCAGGCATTCCTGGTTCTCCATCTAATCCAGGCTGCCCTGGAGGACCTGGTGGGCCAGCTGGACATCCAGAAGAAGCTGGGGCGCAGTTGCACTGTTGAGAGCCTCCTCCTCCACCACCAGCACCACCTTCAGCATAGCTGTGGCGACGGAATCGGAAGAGAGATTCAGCAGGAAGAACTTGAGCACGTGGAGCAGTTCTTGAAGTACTTATCATTGCAGTCCATGCGTCATCAGCTACTGACTGAATTGAGAAGTTTATTCGATAGAGAGAGGAAGAAACTCACTTTGAACTCATCAAGATCTGTTTCTATTTTCACTTTGAAATCATTGATTTCGGTAACGATGTCCATAATCACCATGAAGGTAACTCCGATGATGATGGAGGTGAATATGTAGGATCCAACGATAGTGTAATGCTGTAATACTCCCATGGCTAAAACAAGTGAATAAGGATATTAGTGAGTTGCTATCTTACCTGGTATTGAAGAAAAGCTCACAGTGTGAAGACTGAAGGTACACGTACCCCTTTTATACTTTGTAACTTGTTATTTGGTCACATTTGAATGTGGAAGAAACTTGTTTATTCTGTCTCTCTTCTATCAGAATCATTTTAACTTCTCCTTTTTTCATTGGCTTAATAAGATGCATAGAGAGAACCTATGATGTTATAAAACATGACAGTTTTATTTATCAAAACAATTACATTAGTTACATTGACTTTATAATTCAACTGTGACTGATTCTCTTTTGTGTTTATTACTTATTGTGATACCCACCTCTCTTATATTACGGAGCTGGTTTTACTTTCAGATATCTATATTTGAAAGAATTTTCGAAGTGTTTAAACTATTCCTCGCCATTGTTGTTTAATCATCGACGTAGAACAACCTAGACTTTATATTAAGAAATCCTGTCTTCAATACTCTAATGAACAAACTGTTTTTATAATATGGCTCTGGCTTAGGCTTAGGCTTAATCTATGTCTGCACTCAGGAAAGCAATAAAATAAAATGAAACTTATTGTTGTCGTCTGTCACGGGACAAACAACGTAGACGAACGGCTTCATAACTTTAGAAGTCAGAATATTTGAGATGTTATGACTTCCTTTTATTAACTTTATTGCGTAAACTATCGATTGCTGGCTATATTTTGCAACTAATGGTTTGGTTTTGAGCCAGGGAAATAGAAAGATCATAACCAATTCAAGAGAACTGATGGAAAATATGAACCACACCGTTGTATATATCTTAAAGATGCCGGAAAAATCGCAATCCAACTATAGTCGACTACCAAC